AATGGAAGGGTCACCACAGCCAGGTGTTTTTTCCATTTCCAAGAGGAGCCAATTTCAAATGATAATAATAATAATAATAATAAATTTTATTTATATCCCGCCCTCCCCAGCCGAAGCCGGGCTCAGGGCGGCTAACAACACTAAAACAGTACAACATTATAAATACATTCTAAAAATTAATTAAAATACAAATTGATGGCAACCATAGACTAAAGCTTTGTAGAGATTGCCAAAGGAGGGAGTCAGGCTGCGCCCTGACCAAAGGCCTGGTGGAACAGCTCTGTCTTACAGGCCCTGCGAAAAGATGTCAAGTCCTGCAGGGCCCTTGTCTCTTGCGACAGGGCATTCCACCAGGTTGGAGCCGCAGTCGAAAAAGCTCTGGCTCTAGTTGAGGCCAGCCTAACCTCTCTGTGGCCTGGGACCTTCAAGATGTTTTTATTTGAAGACCGTAAGTTCCTCTGTGGGGCATACCAGGAGAGGCGGTCCCGTAGGTACGAGGGTCCTAGGCCGTATAGGGCTTTAAAGGTTAAAACCAGCACCTTAAACCTGATCCTGTACTCCACCGGGAGCCAGTGCAGCTGGTATAGCACCGGATGAATGTGATCTCGCAGCGAAGACCCCGTAAGGAGTCTCGCTGCGGCATTCTGCACCCGCTGGAGTTTCTGGGTCAGTCTCAAGGGCAGCCCCACGTAGAGCGAGTTACAATAATCCAGTCTGGAGGTGACCGTCGCGTGGATCACAGTGGCTAGGTCAGGGCGAGAGAGGTCTATTTAAACCTCATGTGGGAAAACTGCATGGACATGTGGGATCAACTGTCCATCAGTAAGCCAAAACTTTATTCTGTAAATAAATATACTTGCTGATTAGATTTTTGTGACATACTTTTCAAGGCCCAGTCACAACTATTAATTGACCAAATAACATTAGTATGTCCCGAAAGTGTCTAACTGTAGGCAAAAGGACCACTATCTCTAAACTGCCCAGTCTTAATAATGCCTTGAAATGGTATTAGTAGTGTGTATCTAGTGGCAAACCTGGCGCCCTCTAAATGCTCTTGGACTTCAACTCCCATCAGCCCCAGCCAGTATGGTCAATGGTCAGGGATGATGGGAGTTGTAGTCCAGGAATGTCTGATGGGCAAGAGGTTCCCCATCTCTGCTTATATGCTACCAACATCATTCATATTTTTTTTTTAAAAAAATTATACAATTTAGACACCATTCTCATGCTTTGGTTTTAATAAAGTTTGGTTACCATTAACATCAGTCATTCATTAGTCTAGAAGTAGAGGGTATTTGCTAGGCTGGTTCATGAAGTTATTGCTTGCACCACAACCCACATTTCATATGTTTGTGGACGCAATACTTTTCAAGGAGTCACTTCACACATCCAGGGCTGGATTCAATGGGCTGTATCTGATTTGGCAGGTCACAATTTGTGCAGACTTATAATATAAAACGTACACATCACCTTAGATGTAAGAGTTCAACTTTCAAAGGAAAGGTTCATAAAGCAATGCATTTGGATAAGCACAAATTATAAGAGCAGGAAAAGGTGGGAACAATTAAGTCATTTTTTAATTTCGTATGTTATGATCATATTTGTAAGCAAAGCAATAAAACGTCCCGAACCATTATTTAGAAACCTAGCTTGGTGATTGCCTATAAATACAAGGGTTGTAAACTGTCCGTTTGTTGTTGTTTAGTCGTTTAGTCGTGTCCGACTCTACGTGACCCCATGGACCAGAGCACGCCAAGCACTCCTGTCTTCTGTTTATCAGATTAGATATTGAGCTGCAAACTCTGAAGAGAGGGAGACATTGCTCCATCTCATGTCCGTAACAGCACAAGAGGCAAATTGGTATTTACTACAAAACAGCTTGATCTCGTTTTCCCACAACAGTCCTTGCGAAAATCCTATTGATGTGAATGGAATACAAAAAGAGGGACTTGTTATGACCAATGAAAAGTTAACAGCTGAATCCTGCCCCTCTATCAAGATATATAGCCATCTCTCACTATCAGCACTCCAGTCAACTTAAAATTAAATCCATTGATCAGAGCAGCAAATTTCTTTTAGCCTAATGAGCCAAACTCTTTCCAGCTAAGAGGCTCCGGAATGGAGCATTCCCAGGCAATGACATCATCACCCTAGTTTTGTGATGGCAGCCATGGTATGTTTATTTTTTGTTTTTTTTTAAATAAGCATACGTTGCCTTAGAAGTCAACTCATCTTCTCCTGTGGCATTCGCAAAAATAAATATGGCAGTTGCCGGGACCCAGAATGAATGCTGTTGGTTTTTGGGTTTTTTTAAAGGGGGCCATAGCAGGCATAAGCAGTGGAGTCCTACTGGAGTCCTGGTGGGGGCCCAGTGATGAATGGTATTGGCACCAGCCCCGAGAAGGTTGTGACATGTCCCTATGTTTTGAAGAAATACATTGCAGCTCCAGCCTCCGAAGCCCATGCAATACATACACTTTCCTTTCATAGAGACATACCCTGCCCATCATGATGACTGGTGTTTTCATATGGGATCAATACTGATATTGTAGCAGAACATCCACCAGTATGGATTTTAGACATAGCCAAAATACTGACATGGTGACATTCTATTATTCTCTTGCACAGGGTTCTTCAACCATGGGACCCCAGATGTAGTTGGACTACAGCCCCCATCATCCTTGACTGGCTGGGCACGATGGGAGTTGTAGTCCGGCAACATCTGGGAACCTAAGGCTGAAGAACGCTGTGAGTCTAGCCCAGCCAAGAAATGAAACTATACAGAAAGACACAGGCTTATTGTAAATGGATGGGGTGACTGGGAGCCATGAGGGACAAAAAACCGGTTACTCTAACAGTGGCCTGAAGTGCACTCCTTAATTTTCTTCCATGTATATTAAATACTGCCTTTCACTTTTGAGTGAGGCGGGAAGATAAAACACTGTTGTTTAAGTGGCAGCAAAACCTACCTGATTGGCCTGACTGCCACTGACAGGGACGCACCACCAGGGGGCATTGCAAAATAAAAGCCCTCTCCCTCCAGGTCATAGCTGTCAATGCTTCCCTTTTTTAAGGGAAATTCCCTTATTCCAAATAGGATTCCTCGCAAGAAAAGGGAAAAGTTGACAGCTGTGTTCCAGGTACATCATGCCTATCAGAACAGCAGCCATTTTGCTAGTAATCTGTAAAGCACAGCTTTTGCTCCGACAGGTCTTTTCCTTCCTTCCTCGTAAGCCCAAAATTGTCAACCCACTAAATTAGAAACCTTCAGCTCCTTACTCCAGTCAACACATGTCCACAGAAAAACGGCCCAGTGGAGGAAACGGCTTGTTCCGTCCTGGCTGTGTTTTCTTTCTTTTTTATGAAGGCCTACCTCCAACAAGCAGAGCGAAGGATAGCTGGAGGCTTAAATGTAAAGACAATTCTGTCTTCACCGGAAAATGCCAAAAAATGGTCTTGCTGGGGGTGTTGGCAAGGAACCCAGACAGAAGGATCAGTTCATAAGATTACTAAATATGTATCTTGCCACGAGATGACAGCATTATGGGTTATAATATTTTGATTTCATGGCACGGAAGCTACATGTGCAACCCTTTTTATGCCCAGCCCCCTTATTCCGTTGCAACAGCTGGGATGTCTGTTGCTCAGTCTATCAAGGAGCATCTTGACATATCCCTTCAAATAGAAGCAGGGAAAAGCCATGGGGCTTAAAGACATGCTGTCTAGTTCAGATAAAACAGTGGCACAAGAGAAAGAGAGGAAAAGATACAAATGCTCTAGTGGGGGTGGAAAGAAAGCAAGCTAAAAGCAAACAAGGCTTTTCCCCCATTCAAGATTTCATGTTAATATTTTTGTTATTCAAGCTGTAAACATTCATTATCATTAGGCACCGTCTTAGATGGGAGTGTGACGTTCACGGTCATCTTAATAGCAGTGTTTTCAATAAGATGTGAAGGTGAACTTCTGTGCTATGTAAGGTCTTATCCACCCCTTGGTTTAACATGCATGGTGAACCATATGTGGTTCAAAATGCACTTTAAGACAAGGAGTGGATGGACCCTAAGAAAATAAATTGCTACATATAAAAGCTTTTAACACCCACACAAACATATTCTTCTGTGCAGCCCTTTGTCACAACAAGCGTAGCAAGTAGATATGACTATTTCTAATCAGGATATAAACTGGTCTTTAGTCTTGTTGCAACGTTCGTCTTTATGACTATTGTCACTACTGGAACATTTTTTATTGTTTGTGTTGGTGAAGCTGGTTAGCGACCTGTATGGCTGCTGCAACCACCACTTCAACAGATCTGCAGCAATTTTTCACCGAGATTAGGATTAGTGGCTGTTAAGATTAAAAGAGAGAATCTCATTCTTATTTTGAATTTCAACATTCTTTTTGACAAGAGGTGCAGTTAATGAGGCATTCCCCCAACTTACGCTCTCCACGCCACATCTTTAACAAGGCACGCTGTGGGCACCAGAAATAAACCGAGCCAGAAGTATCCACACCTCAGCACCATTCCTGCCTGTAAGGAGGGAGAAATAAATGCAGTGTTAATCATAATCATGTTACACAATGTAGCAGGGACTGGCTGAAATGAAAGGGTAAATTAATAACACTACGTGCAAAAGCAATACAATAACAGCAACTGAAAAGCAATGTATTGCATGTTGATCTACTGATTTTATTTCATTCCAAGAATTGCCACCCAATTACTGTTGTTGGTTATACATTCACAAGCCCTACCATCCAACTCGGTGGGCCTTCAGAGAAGCTTATGGTCATTACAAGGCAAACATTCTCACAGCACAACACAACCTGCCTCCTTTATTATTTCCCCATTATAACTGTGGCAAATATTTCTTGACATTCAATGACATTGTGTGATTGATGCCACTCTTAGGTTGCAACTCAGTGGTGGTCCTTCATATGTTGGTGGAACTCCAACTCCAACCATCCATAGCCATTGGCCATGATGGTTGGGGTTGATGGGAGTTGGAATCCAACAACATCCGGTGACCCCCCCTCCCTTTTAATGCTTCAGGAGGAAATGCACACTTATGCTAGGTTGCTTAATGCTACTTCAGAAACAGAGGAATGGTCCTTATACTAAGTCTGACCATCGGTTCATCTATCTCAGCACAGCCTACAGGAGGGATCGCCAATGTGATGCCCTCCAGACATTGTTGGACTACAAATCCCATCAACCCTAACCACTAGCAATATTGGCTGGGGCCATTGGGAGTTATAGTCCAACGTCTGGATAGCATCACATTGGCTATTCCTGGTTTACAATGACTGGAAGTGGCTCTCCAAGTCAATTGAACTTGGCTCCTTCTGTATGCAAATCAAATACTCCACCACTAAGGTATAGCTCTTCAGAGGCCCATCACATATTGTCAACAGTTCCTCTCCCACATACATTCTCTCAAAATCTTGTTTACTTACTTTGCCAAACCTTTATTAGGCATTACAAATATAGGCCATCATAAAAAATCCATATATAAAATTTTAAAACATAAACAAATGAACAACTATGTAAAAATATGTAATAATGAGGATTTTCATTGGAGTTTCTTCCCGCTAAATAGTGCCATTCATCACCCTAAGAGATTGTTGTTGTTGTTTAGTCGTTTAGTCGTGTCCGACTCTTCGTGACCCCATGGACCAGAGCACGCCAGGCACCTCTGTCCTCCACTACTTCCCGCAGTTTGGTCAAACTCATGCTGGTAACCTTGAAAACACTATCTAACCATCTCGTCCTCTGTCGCCCCCTTCTCCTTGTGCCCTCCATCTTTCCCAGCATCAGTGTCTTCTCCAGGGAGTCTTCTCTTCTCATGAGGTGGCCAAAGTACTGGAGCCTCAGCTTCAGGATCTGTCCTTCCAGTGAGCACTCAGGGCTGATTTCCTTAAGAATGGATGCGTTTGATCTTCTTGCAGTCCATGGGACTCTCAAGAGTCTCCTCCAGCACCATAATTCAAAAGCATCAATTCTTCGGCGATACTATTGATAAAAACTCAGTCACCCTTGTAGCTATTTCCGGGTTAATGTCAGACAGATAGAATCTGATATTTTCATTGTGCCATGATGTTTGTTGTTGTTGTTGTTTAGTTGTGTCCGACTCTTCGTGACCCCATGGACCAGAGCACGCCAGGCACTTCTGTCTTCCACTGTCTTCCGCAGATTGGTCAGACTCATGTTTGTAGCTTCGTTTGTAGCCATGATGTTAGACTACCCAGAAAATGGGGATAGCACACATTTGGGTAGCTGGTTGTACAATGGACAGTAGAAAAGAATATGTTCTACTGTGTCTGGCACTTCAAAAAACACCCACAATGTTTATCATTTCTGGAGATGTTTAAATATCTGCCCTTGACAAAAGCTGAGGGAAAAACGTTCAGTTGGTCTAACATAAAGGCCCTGCGTTGGACTGCAATTATTAATTTTGAAATATAACTCTGTTATCTGTTGTATTTAAACCATAAAACTTGGAGCAAATTTTATTTACAGCTGACTCAATGTTTTGTTTTTCAGTGTCCCTTAATCTGATTTGAATATTATGATAAATATATTGCTCACTTGAATTATACAAAAGTTCCAAGTCAATACCAATAGATCTGATTTTGCTATGTAAGAGTTGGAACCATCTGGATTTATAAGAGTACTTAAGTAACTCAGAAAGCAGACGCAACCAGCATTTTATAGTGCTAGCCCACACCCAGTATTCCATCGTCTGTATACCTAGTTCTGCACACATCGTCTCATATATGAGTGAATTTGGGAGCCCCAGGATACGTCAAGAAACTTGAGTGTATCCTATCTAAATCACTATTATATGTTTGTATCCGTATTGGGATCCCAAAAAGTAGCTGGGACGACAATTTAGATTGAAAAATTTGAACAGCAGCTGGTATAAATTGGTTACCTTTCTGAAAGTAAAAGCGAACTACTTCTGAGGAGGCACACTTTGCCTGTTTTATAGCACTTGTGCGCTGTTTTGACCAACCTGAGTTGCTCTGGAATAAAATTCCAAGATATCTGAGCATCTTTACTTGCTGGATTTCTTGTCCTCTTATTTTCCATTTCTCTAATTTCTGGGAATTAGAGAAGACCAGAATTTTTGTCTTCTCATAATTTATTGAGAGTTTATTGATTTCACAATAGGAAACCAGGGAGCGTAAAAGACATTTCAGGCCTATCCTCGTCAGTGATAATAAGGCCGCATCATCCGCATACAGTAACAGTGGGACCGGGTTTTGATTGATTTTGGGGGCATGTGATCTGGAAGATCTGATAAAAATAAATTAAAAAGAAAAGGATACACCCATGTTTTACACCTTTCGCATTAGGGATGTTGGAAGAGAGGTGACCTTTGGCATTGAGTTTGATTTGGCAGATGTTAAAGGAATATAAATTCTGTATTAAGATCAGCAAGGGTGAATCTTAATACTGAAATGTGTCCACTGTTGCCAAAAGCTTGGCGACCAGTGCTGTAAGGCATAGGCTGGATAAGCCAGAATAGATGTTAAACGCATCCCTTGGTCCCTGTGACTGATATGTCTTATGGTATGACAGATCTATTTGGATGTTTTGCTGGTGGTCACACTTTGAAATTCAACTGTATTTAGCAACAAAGCTGTCGCAGCAGGACAACTGCTAGACAGGTGCTATTTCAACACATTTATCATCAGTTCTTTGATGCTAAATCCTGCACGCAATTGCCAGCATGGCAGAGCGGTGGTAAATCTTCCAGAGCTACAAAAGTTAAGATATGCTGTTTGCTTGAACATTTATGAATACTTTGGGACCCAGTGGAGCCAGAAGTAAACAACTTCCAACCTTGGAATCAATTTTAACAGTGCTTAATTTTTGTGGCAGATGTTTGCAGCCCAAAATACAATGTACACTCTCTAGAACAGAGGTCAGCAACCTAAGGCCCATGGGCCACAAGCGACCCATGGGGGTCGTTTAACCAGCCCATGGACCCCCGCTACCTGCTCGATCTGCTCCCGTGCGCCGCGCTAAACCGACGCTGAACAGAGCGGGGACCGCCTTCTGCGACGCTGGCTGGCTTCCCATTGGCTGCAGGAAGCTCCTACAGCCAATGGGAAGCTGCGCACGCCTCCCCCGCGCCAGAAGGAGCACCGGAAATAGCGTTTGCGCATGCGTGCGCACACACTGCAGCGTCTGCGGGACCGTGAACTGGTCCAAGCCACAAAAACTTTGCCAACCCCTGGTCTAGACCACTCTGTGAAAGCAGCTGCTGCTCAAAGGCAGACCCATGCGCAATGCATTGCAGTAGTCTAACCTGGAGGTGATCAGGACCTAGACAACTGAAGCCAAGCTATCTCCACACAGAGAGGGTTGCAGCTAGTCCAGCAGCTCTACCGCTGAGTTTATGGCTCTTCCCCATATTTTATCCCACTGAATCTTTGAATGTTTTTGTTCCACTGAATCTTTGAATGTTTTTGTTCCAGGAAGAACTATACTTTCTATTTTCTGTTTGATCCCTCTCAACAATAAAGATGTCGAAGAAGGTAGCTGTGTCCCATATATATATTTATAGCCTTCGTTTTATTGGACTCACAAATCTAACCTGCGCTTTTCCCTTGCCACCTGGAGAGCTAGAAATGCATATTTTATCATGGAAAAAGTGGTTGTAGTGCAACAACCCTTGCAAACCAGGGATTTTTAAGGAGTGTCAAGTATCTTGAAAGGGCACATTACTGAAAATGCTTGTAAAACAGCCTTTTCTTTTCTTTTCTACATTGCAAAATAGAAACCACAGAATATGCATCAGTTAACACTTTGTCAGTTCTTAACCAAATATGGATTTTACAAGATCACTGAAGGGAAAAGCTGAAGTAGCTTCACAGGACCAGGTTACCCACAAGCAAGCTAAGAAGAAGACAAGAAGACCTAGAAAGAGCATTGCTAAATCTAAAAGAAAAACATCTCATTTCCTAACAAGTTCCTCAAAGGCTTTTAGTCTCATTTTTGTAACCAAGTTTGAGGGAAAGAGTGACCACATTGTCCGGACATCTGTTTTTAAATATTAATGTACAGGAAAGAACTAGCCAGCGATTAAACCCACCCATGAGAGACATAAAGCAGTATCTCAAGATTGTCTTTACTTTTTTATTCTTTGGAGTTTGGCAATTATAAAGAAAGCCCTATAGGAGACAAAATTCAAGAGGGATTCATTTTATTTCCCTTTCCAGCCCTTTTGGTTGTCCCACATACCCTCTTCTCGCACAGGTGTGGAGTATCGTTTCCATTTGAAAAAGCTGAACTGAATTTGAAGCATAGAACAAAACCCCAACTTTATTTTTCTCCACTCATGGGAGAAAATGTGCAACTAGGCTGTTTTTGTCATGGCTTATAACAAGTAGACACACAGAATCCTAAAGGAGTCGTAGAATGTACCCTTTTGCTTGTGCATAGTGTTTGCAAAGAGCACGATGCGCCGTAAGATTTTCTTAACAGAGAACTGCAATGAAGACGCCATTATTAAGAGAGTCAGC